GAAATAATATTACAAATACATTTCTTATTTAGTTTTACCAATTAGTTGAAGTTGCTGAAACATTCTTTTTCCAATTCATTGCTATAAGGATTTGCAGCTACTAATAAATGTTATTTGAATGGCTTACCTCCAAGCTGTATCTTTATGATACGATAAGTAGTAATAATAATAGTAATGGTGACATTGATTATGTTAATAGTAATATCAAAGAATTGTGAGAGTTATGTTCCCTTAAGTATTCTAATTGTCATACTAATCTTTGATTGAAGAATGTGTATCAGACTAATTCTACTGCATACAGAAAATAATTCTTTCCAATACAAAGGTTGTGATGCTTATCTATGGCAACATCAGCTGTATTTTACATGATAATCCAACAACTTTGATTTTGCATTTACTTTTAAAAGTATTAAAAGATGCTTCCAAAATTATTGTGATCCATGAAAGTATCACTGTGAGTATTTTAGTAGACAATGGCATGTCCCTTTTGTGTCTGTCCCTAGAGGGTTCTTCAACAGAATGACATTTAGTTTTCCTTTAGAGCGAATCTTTCAGTCACTTTTTTGTCTTGGTAGCAGGAAGCCATATAACTGTCGGCTGCAAGTCAGTCAAATGGGAAATGAAAAAACATTAAAAGCCATTGACACCACCACCACCAAGAAGAACAAAAAATCCTCCAGATTATTTATCAAAGGAACAGATTTTTTTCTTTTTGGCTAATTTTAGGGAATATGAGTAGAAACGGGTTTCAGAACATATCTGCTGTCATTGTCTGATATGATACTTCCAAATATTTCCACCCCTTTGGTGCCTAAGAAGGTTGTCTTCTGTATTTTCAGGCAAGCAGTAATACTGTTGAGCACGATGTTTCTCCATTACTTCTTACTCAGAAGTGTATGTTTTTATAAGTTTCAAAACTTGTAAAAAATTTGATGATATTTCTAATACCTGCCTGCTTTTTTAACAATCATTTGCAGTAGTTCTATTAAAATGTAGTGGAAACTGATTGAAGATTACTGAAAGACAGAAATTCTGTGCCTCATTTAGACATAATTTATTTTGAGTCTTTTCATATATTATTACCATTCCATCACAGAATGCATTTTATTTCTTGTTGTATTTTCTTCTTTGACACTTCAGTGCTGATTTAAATAATTATTTTCTTCAAAACCACTGGAAGTCTTGGTGTCTAACAGCAAAAACAGTAATCCTCTAAATTTTTGCTTTAACAGGCATTTCTAATCGGTGTGTAACAACATGGCTTTAATATGAAAGGATCTTGTGTGTAAATGTAGAGAAAATCCAGCGCTGGTTGCTTTTATGTTACAAATTTAATTTTTAAAAATTAAAAATATTACAGTGGACCATCTATGCACCTTTCCAATATACAGAAGTATCTAATTGCTTTTCTGTTACTGTTCATTGTGACTGATGAAGGACTCTCTGAATGAGACACGCTATTTCAAATAAGGTTAAGTCTTTTACAGAATGTGAGTCTATGTACGTATATACATGTTGTTTGAAAAAGGAAAATTCTAATAATATTTTGGGTAAAAGCTATCATTAAAGACAGCTGCATAAAATTACAATTTCTATGTTGTATTTTTTTTTCCTTCTTTCCATTCTGTCTCCCATTAGAGGGCAGTGTTATGAATATACAACATATTGATGTTGACATACTGAAAGGAAAGCAAGCATTTTTAATACATCTCAGATGCTGTCTTTTCATATTGTATCTTATGATTTTCAAGAGTAAGAAGAGTGGACTAGAAATGATATGTGGAAATAGCAGATAAAGAAATTTGCGTCTAGTACACAGAAAGCTAGCTAGTAGAAAATTTGCATTCAGTCCCTTGTGTGTTTCAACTTTTCTATGATTAAACACCCCCCTTGTTTAAAAGGCGTGATAAAACTAGCTGTAGCAAACCAGAACACCAGGCCATGCATTTACCTGTTTTTTTAAATATATCTCTGTTTACCTGAAAAAAAATACTGTGTCAGTTTTGGCCTTTAAGAGAGTAATTTAGCTATAACACTAAGTTTTTAAAAAGTTTTTCCATTTGAGGCTGTATGTTTTAGTCAGTCAATTTGCTTTTAATCTGAATAATTGTACTGCATTTACATGGCAAGGTTTTGGTAGTATAGGGGGGCTGCAGCAGTGGCTTCTGTGAGAAGGGATCAGGAGCTGCCCACATGTTGGACAGAGCCAGGTCCAGCTGGCTCCAAAATTCACTGCCCAAAACTGAGCCCGTCAATGACTCTGGTAGTGCCTCTGTGATAGCATGTTGAAGAAAGGGTAAAAGACACTGTACAGCAGTTGTGAGAGAGAGGAGTGAGGAAAATATGAGAGAAACGGCCCTGCAGACACTAGAGTCAGGAGTGACATTGGGCCTGGGAAAAAGGAGGGTAAGGGAAGCTGGTTTTAGTTTTGTTCTTATTTCTCACTATCCTTATCTGTTATTAATTAGCAATAAATGAATTTAATTTCCTCAGGTTGAGTCTGCGATGGTAATTGGTCAGTGATCTCCCTGTTCTTATCTCAACCCATGGGCTTTTTCATCTTATTTTCTCCCGCTGTGCTGCTGAGGAGAGGGAATGAGAGAGCAGGTTGGTGGGCACCTGGCAGCCAGCCAAGATTAATCTACCACAATAGCTTATGTCCTGTAGGCATATTGATTTACTTATTGGAGTCTCCTAATATTAAGTATTTTTGAGTGTTGGGTACAGTAACTTTAGTCTGAAAATAGTCTCAGCATCTACAGTATCCCAAGTGAAGACTCCTCTGCCTTTTTGTGATCATCATTAAGAGTTTATTCAAATAAATCTAAAATATTCCACTCATATGCATAATTTGTAAACAAAAACCATGCAAAAATTCTTTGGGGGACTAAAATCAGGGACTAGAGCAAAACTGATGAGGAAAGTACTGCATAAGATTTTAGGGTCTGCACTGCACAGAGGGTTAGATTACACGTTTATAACACACTCTTCTAGACCTTAAACTTAATATTCACCTCTCTTGCTCCTTTCTTCCTCTTTGTAGAAAAACCTGGGCAAAACTGTAACTTGGTATGGTACTTGTATGCATTTTGTTTTGATGGGTTAAAAGCTAGGACTTTATATGCCTATAAAGACCTTTGGGTCAGGTGGATACTATATGAGTTATTTTTAAAAAGAAAATTGTGATGCCAGTAAAGATATGTGCAGTCTCTGGATTCAGCATGGTATTATGCTTAAAACTATCAGGAACAGCTAATAGAGCAAAAAGAAATGCTATAGTTTCTTTTTGGTCTTAACCTATAGGAGTTAAACAATGGAGTGTCCATAAGTACCTTTGTGGAATCCTAATGTGTCACATTTGTTCAGGTAGTATCTTGTCTTGAATGATCCTTTCCCCCTAAAGAACGGAGAAAGAGGGAAAAGGGAAAATTTTCATTAGAGTTGGCTTTCACATGTGAGATTTTTATTTTGGATTTTCTTTATTGCAAAATGCAGCATATTCCATTACTTGTAACTTATAAATTCCTGTCTTCTCTTGCAGTGCACTTGTAGGAGAGACATGGTGACAATATCCATGGACATCTTTGTGAGGAAGTTTCAACCAGACAGGTACCAGCTGTGGAAACAAGGCAAGGATTTATACATCATTGATCATACAAAACCAACTCCTGAATCAACACCTGAAGTAAAGACCTGGCTACAGAGAAGAAAGAAAATAAAGAACTTTCCCAAGTGGTATTTATGTTTTTTTATTCTGCATTTATTTGTCTTCAACATGATGTAAATTTCCTTTTTGTTTCTTTTTTGCAGCTTTCTCTGATGTTTTATTTGAATTCATTTACTTTAGACAAAGTTTGTTTTTCTGTTTTCTGTATTAAGATGAACTTGGGGACAAGCAAGTCTTTTTTTCAGAGTGACTATGAAAAATTAATTCAACTTTCAAGTTATGTGCATAGCTGAAGTTAATGAGTATGTATCAAAATGCATTCCAGTGTGGTATTTAGAATCTTTCTTTAGTAGAGATTATTCCATTAAAATTTCCCAGGTGTAGATGGTTGCCATTGTTTCTAGCTTATCATGAAGTTCTGTGGTAGAATCCCAGCAGCTGTGTGAAGTCTCTAGCAATAGTCTTAGCCCTCACTGCCATCTAACTCCAAGGAGGTATCGCTGCCTATCTGGGACACTGTCACAGTGCAGCAGCTGAAACATCTCTGTGCCTACTACAGGTCAATCACAGATCATAATGTAGCATAAGGAAGGCCTAATATCAGTTGTTGGTGCTGACACCACTAAGAAAATCAGAAGAAAAAAGTTTCTCAGCTTGTAACTGAAGCTGTCAAAGCTTTGACCTATTAAAGCAGTTTCATAGCTGGGTCTATTTTCTTGTAGTGCATCGTGTTTTTTGTTTGCATTGCACAAACATTTTTTGTACACTAATGCTTTCCTGTCTTACTTAACAGGATCTTTATGGATTTTCTTCTTCATTATTTAATAAAGTTTTACTTAATTTCTAGCCTACGGTGGGCAGTTTTATTGGTATCTAGTTACTGCAGAGTGCAGTTTGCTGGGTTAAAGATAATACTGAATTTTTTAAGACCTTTTTCTTCCTTCCAGTCATTTTACAATATAGTTACTGTTTTAACTTCCTCTTAAAGTGAATTTCCTGATTTGCTTTGTAAGTTAATGTATTTCTTGAGGAAAACGATGGGAAAGTCAACCTGTAAAGAGGACCAGCTGCCACTGTAGTGGAACATTATAGTTGAGAAATATAACATTGGGTTTGTTCTGGGTAAGAATAGGTTGTGGTGTAGAATCAGTTCTTGAAGACAACCAGTGAAGCAGCTGGACAGCCAATTTGTTAGTATATGTACAATACTAACCCGGACAGAGAGAGAGAGAGAGTAATTCTATTGTTCAGGTAGTTGAATGCCATTTTGCCCTGTCGTAAGTTGCACTGTATGTTTTGTACAGCGTAACTGCAAGTTCACACTTGGACCAGCAGTGATTCATTTGGTAGTACCCTTATGGATAGCCAATTTTAACTAAAAGCAAAGCCTTTACAATAATTGTGTTGGAATTTTTATCCTAGGAACATGTGGGCTGATTTCATGCACTAAGTTAAGCTAATAAACACAATTCCAGCGCTGTTTAATTCTCGAATTGGCTTTTGTTCAGTCATGGTAACAATGTATATTGCAAAGGGAGGATAAAATGTTTATTCAGCTTAATTTCTAGTGTAATGTGTCGATTGAAATTATCATCATTTTGATTATGGGAATAATACAAGTTCCAGCAGAGTGAAAATAGAAATACCATCTGTGGAAATCTTCATGAATATAGTGACAGGGAGAGCTTAACTCTGACATTTATGGCTGTAATACTTTGCTACAATAGAACGTCTAATGACTGCATGTAAACAATAATAATACTTGCTGTTATATTACAATGTTAACTGATGGGCATCTCATACTTTGGCAAATTTTCTGGAATTTACTATTTTATGGAGAGGGTGTTGAAAGACATACATTGGTGGACATAGGATGAAATGTAAGGGGTAGCAAAATGTTTTTCTGGAGATGTCTATAGTCTAAGATGCAAGACCTTTGTAAAACTCCTGGTTTACCTGCCATAGTTGGGCTTTTATCACTAGTGTGTTATGAGTTTTGAAACCTGATATGTGATGAAGCACATAAAAATCTCCTCCTGTGTCACATAGTTGAATTTGAAACTGGACTAATCTCCTGTTACTTTTATCCTGAGAACATAAATTACAAACCAGTTTCTGACAGAGGGTGCCATTTCTCCTGCTTTAACCTTTCCCTTCTACTTCTGAGGGTGCAAAAACTTATGCTGAAGCTTTAATTTCAACTGTTTTTTTTTTTACACGGCATTATGAAATATATTGCTTGATATTGTAGCCTTTCAAAATATTTGATGATCAGAATTTTTCCTTCTTTCAGGTGCTTGTTTTTTGTGTTAAAATGCATATAAAAACTTCTAAGATATCTAAACATCTGACTTTACAAGGGTATTCAGACTAGTGTTTTATTAGTGTGGGGTTTGGAAATACCACCTGATTTTAGTGCAACTGAGAATGTTTTGCTTTCATTACTTTTATAAGGGTTATTCTTTTTCAGGTTCGAAAGAATGATTCGTTAAAAAGCTAGTTTGGATGCTGGTTAAGTAGTAGTTACTTAAGTTTATTTTACTTCTACAGTTTAATAACTTTGCCATAGAATGGTGATGAAAGATTAGAAGGCTAAATCCAATCAATTGTTAATCTATCACTTAATAAATTGTAAACACTATCTCCACACAAAAAGATGAAAAATTGTCAGTTTTTTACCACTTTAAGTAGGTGAAAGGGACATATATATAGCTAGACATTTTATCTTATCCAAGACAGACATTCTGCTCTGACAGCAATATCTCTTATAACAGCTTCCAGCATACCAGATCTCGATCTAAAAAGCTTAAAACTCCAGAGGACAAGAGAGTATCTGCTATGGTAGCTGGTGCAGAAATCATAGCAACTGAAGCAGCTACTGATGGCTTCAAGGTCACTGAAGAACCTGGAAAAAAAGTGAGACTGGTAAACACAGGAATGC